AATCCGAAGTTCAGTAGAAAGTTATAACTAGCTGAGTGTGCCTGGACTTGCTCGGGATTCAATATTAGCTTGAGTTTATGCGCCGATTTAAAAAAAAATATGCTATATTGTACGTAGCCCCCTCCCCTCATATTTAAGGGACTATGACCTCCACATGCCAAATTTGGTTCCATTTGCTTGATTACACAGATAAAAATTCTGAATTTTAATTGTGATGTAAACATTCATTCACCTAGACTTGTATTTCATTTCACCAAAGATATCTAAATAGCAAGATATCCCACTAATCAATTCCTCATACAAGATGTCACACATGTCATCATAACATATAATTACCACCCTTATGTGCTTGCAGTGCCATCTGTTGAGTTCATATTGAAACTCTTGGGAGTTTCCTGTAAACTTCACCACCAGGGCTCAATAATTGACTGGTGTCAGCATTACAGATGTCAACGCGGGCATTGATGATCAGCCGAGGGAAGAGGACAATATCATTCTCGAAGTCATCATCATTATATTGCCATAGCAAGATTTTTACTTGTTTGTGATTGCTTCGATTATCAATCATTACCACTTTATACGCAACAGAAACAGTTGAGAAAATACACATCCAAGCGCGCATCATGATGTGCTTGCAGTATGTTTTGCTTTCGAGCGAAAGCGTTTCCAATATACCGCCGTTAGCAGTAAGATGCAAATCTCTAATAGTAAGTGAAGATTTGCGGAGCTGTTGCTCAAAGTAATCTTAATAAGCATAGAAGTAAACATTGGAAAAACATTCAATCTCTATTAAGAATTATTCCAATACCCAAGCCACTGGAAATGCAACGTATTGAAATCATTGCTAAACGTAATAAAATATGCCGTCTTCTTTGGCCAACGCAGCTCGCATTCCATTAAAAAATTACGTTGCAATAATCATTACTTTCCTATTTTATACCGTAGGAAGTATTTGTCAACGCCGGTGAAAGCAAACGCAAACAGAAGTAGCCGAAGCTGAATGATGACGATGAGGTATGACACGGCTTCGTGTTTTGATATGCGCTGTACCGTCCGCTCAGTTGTGTGGGTTCGTACATGTATAGATGTTGCGTTGGTGTGCGTATTTTCTTCAAATGCTGCAGTTCAACGTTGTCTCGTCACAAACCGTTTGGCGCTGTTACTTGTTTCTATAAATACCAAAGAGTGAAAGGGGTCTGATTTCACGCAACCGAGCAACTTGCAAACAATATTGTTTACAAAGATGGGCTTTTGTGTACAATATTTGCTACATTGCATGAAATGTCTCAGAAGTTTACATGATATATAATGTAAACGTATATGATATGTGACGCTCAATTTAAGTGCATCATATTGAACAGAAATTTACACTACTTTTTCGAACTGTGTAGTTCTCGAGTTATGCAAAAAATTTCTGTTTCATTTGTATTGGAGCCCCCCTTTACATAGGGGGAGGGGTCTCGAACCATCATTAGAACCTTTTCCGGCCCAAAAAAACCCCTGCATTCAAATTTTCACGCCGGTCGGTTCAGTAGTTCCCGAGTCTATAAGGGTCAGACAGACAGACAGAAATTCATTAATACATATACAAGTTAAGAACGAACCCTCTTGGACCACAACCAACCGCTTCATCGGTGCATCTCTATTATCATCATCACCGTCAGCAACAACAGCAACCAATCACTTCATTGGTAAATCTCTATTATCGTCATCATCGTCATCATCCATACCAACAACAACAACGACAACGCCGATGACGACGACTAAGACTCAGCAATCGGCATAGCAGCCAGCACGATCACTAATCCGCACCCAAGTCCAAACATCAGCAATTCTTCCCCAGCAACACAAGGAACACAAAGGTAGCACAGTAACGAGCAAAGCATATTCCTACATCAGCAAATGGCCATCCGGCAGCCAAAGATGTCACCAACCCTTGAACCTGCCAATGATCGAAGACGCCTCAGCAGTTTTGTCGCCTTTGCAACAGAAACACGGCGACCACGTTCCCTCTTTAAATTTATCTTACTCAGCTGCAAGGTTGCAAATACTCATTTCAGCTAAAATAATGTTTTTCGGAATAATAAAGCCAAAAGATGGTATGATGACATGTTTTACTTGTAACTTACAAGAAGAGGTTACAAAGTATGCGTATGAAACATAAAACCTGTAAATTTTGCTTTCCATGAGACACAATCAGCGATTTTCTGATCGCTGAGTGAGTGAGTGAGTGTGTGAAAAATCGCTGATTGTGACTCTCATGCAGTGAAATAAACAGGTTTAATATGTCAAACACATTCTTTGCAACCGGGGGGCGACCTCGGCGTAGTGGTTAACATCCATACCTCTCACGCCAAAGTCACGAGTTCAAATCTCACCCCCGAACAAGTCACGAATGACACAAGAGTGTTAAAGTGACTATAATTAAAAAAAAAATCTTTGCAGCCTCTTCTTGTATCTTACCTATTTAAAATATGATCATAAAGGGTGATACGGTCAAAATTTGGTCAAGGGAAAACGCGTGTAAATCGGTGAAATCGTTTATTTAAAAAATCAAATTAAATTTCTTTTTCAAGTTCAATTAGTATAAAATTCAGGAAAAATATTCAGTTAGGCTTCCGCTTTTCCAAATCCGAATTGCCGGGCCTTACGCTTGACCCCTGCCATCAGATTTTGTACAGCCACCTTGTCCACCTTCTTCGCCGCAGAAAGCCAGTTTGCCTTGAACTGCTGCTCGCCCTTAGCAGTTTTTTTGGTCTTCTTTAGGTTCCGCTTGACAATAGCCCAGTATTTCTCAATTGGGCGGAGCTCTGGCGTGTTGGGAGGGTTCTTGTCCTTGGGAACCACCTGCACGTTGTTGGCGGCGTACCACTCCATGGCCTTTTTACCGTAATGGCAAGATGCCAAATCCGGCCAAAACAGTACGGAACAACCGTGTTTCTTCAGGAAAGGCAGCAGACGTTTATTCAAACACTCTTTCACGTAAATTTCTTGGTTGACAGTCCCGGAAGCTATGAAAATGCTGCTTTTCAAGCCACAGGTACAGATCGCTTGCCAAACCAGATATTTCTTTGCGAACTTTGACAGTTTCATGTGCTTGAAAACATCTGCTACCTTTCCCCTTCCTTTTGCCGTATAAAACTCCTGTCCCGGAAGCTGCTTGTAGTCGGCTTTGACGTAGGTTTCGTCGTCCATTACCACGCAGTCAAACTTCGTCAGCATCGTCGTGTACAGCCTCCGAGATCGCGCTTTGGCCGTCGTATTTTGTTTATCATCGCGATTTGGAGTAACTACCTTCTTGTAAGTCGATAGTCTGGCTCGTTTTTTGGCTCGATGCACGGTTGTAGACGATACACCCAGCTTATTTGCGGCATCTCGGAGAGAGAGGTTAGGGTTTCGCTTGAAACTACCGGCAACTCTCTTTGTCGTCTCAGCGGCTTCCGGTTTTCGATTTCCCCCCGATCCAGACTTCCTGGCTGTCGACAAACGTTCCCCAAACACTTTAATTACATTTGTAACGGTTGATTTGGCAACTTTTAGCGATTTTGCCAACTTTGCGTGCGAGTAGCTCGGATTTTCGCGATGCGCGAGCAAAATTTTGATACGCTGCTCTTCTTGCTTGGACGGCATTTTGACAACTGAAGAGTGAATTCCAAAATCAAAATAGGAGCAATATTCTACACACACACACCTTCAAAATGAGGGGTGTTCAGGTTTTTTAAATGCAAAATTGAAAGAAATACGTCAAGTTGATATTGACCAAATTTTGACCGTATCACCCTTTAGCATCTAATTATTTCATAATTTAAAAACAAAAAACATTGTTTTAGCTGAAACGAGTATTTGCAACCTTGCTCAGCTGATTGATAGGGCTTCGGTAGGTTTGGAAATAATATAATTCAATAAATAAGTTCAGTTGGTTTTAGACCTTAGTAGAGTTAACTAGTGTTTTTTTTTTAAACTTAAGTCTGGATGACACATCCAAAAGTTATATATAGAAGAAGATATATATATATATATATATATACATGCCATATCGTATTGAAGTTGAATTCGGACGCTGGTAAATGATCATGATCATCATGCTATCAGAAACCATCACCACTTTCGTTATGTTGCCATATCTAATCTGTTTGCCCGAGCACTCATCCCGTGCTGTTCAACTAAAACTTTTCTACAATCTTCCTCAAACAATACCGGTAAGTGTGCTGTATTCTTTCACAGATCTTTTATCTGAGAAAACAGCCTCCCCTTCCCGTTTCAACAAACCAATCTCGCTAAACCTGAAGCACGGCTTACTATCCAGCCCTCTGCTCCCCGGAAGCAAGTACCATCGTACACCAACTTGTTGAGCCCCATGCTCGAATTCGATCCGCTCTGACGCTGCTGACTAGGTGGGAAATGTTCATAAGCCATGTAAAAAATAGGGCGGAGGGTGAAATGTCCATACAATTGAACGACCGATTGTCTACGTGGGAAGAAGGAGAGTGTGTGTCTAAAACTTCTCAAACCCGGTCTACGTAGTTTATGAACCGCCCCTTGGTTGGATCGACAAAGACGGACACCCTCAACAAAGACTCCGTCGCGGCAAACTCCTGGGGCTTCCCCTCACACCCACCGTGCAGCATTGTAAAACCATCCGGGAGGCATCATAACAACACCGCACCATCGAGTGAGCTGTTTGCTCCCGCATCCTCCCCGATTCACGCACATCTCGGAAGTAGGCACCAACCTACCCCTACCCATCCCGGAAGATCGATGAAATCACACATCTGCGACACATCACGACCAGCGAACACGGACTTCGGCTTCGGCCGTCGGGATTTTCTTCGCATTTTCCACAAAGCTGATGCTGCAGAGCCGAGTTCGGCTCAACGGCAGACGGCACTCACTCTCGCCCGTTATTGTCCGGTTGCAGAATCCTCTCAGCGGAGAGATAAGTCATCGCCCACAATGGGCGAGAAGGATGAGGAAGCAACATGCAACATTCAACCCAAGAAATGTCGCGCGACATCGAAGTGACGCACGACTCCCGTGTTGCAGAGAGCGCATCAGCTGCGCCTGATCGGCTCGAGGAAATGCAGCCACATGCCAGCACGGGGACGGGGCACTTCCGGGGGAACCTGGTGGGAAACCGAGGTCGGAGAAACCGAACAAAAACAGATTGGAGGAAACTCAGCGGCGAAGACTTTCGCCTTTTCCCAGCACCGACCCAGAGGGTGTAGGAAGATTAGCGAGTCAGTCGGTTAGAATTCGTCGGACAGCCACCAGGTGCGCGCCTTTCGGTTCGTCGGAGATCCGGTCGGGAACCCTACATATCCGGACAGCGGAAATATCGTGGTCGCGTGCGTGCGTGAGTCAAATCAATTCGCGAGTGCCGGGGGCTGCTGCTTTGCCGAAGAGGGGTGGGTGTTTGTTTGGATTTCCAAGCTACGGACGTGCGATTCGTGAACAGGTGTGTACGTGTGTGTGTATGTGTGTGTGTGTGTGTGTGTGTTTTTATGTCACTATTGTGTGCTGGAAGTCGAGAGTTGACTCATATTTGACGTTGAGATTTCAAATTGTATTACCTAGAAACTATGTAGCTGTCGTGGATTCAAAAAAAGATCAAATGTAGTTTGGTGGTGGGTTTCAATAACACGTGAACATAGAATTGCACCAAATGGATAGTAAACTTTGGTCATGGATATGAGTTAAGTTTCCTCGTTTAATTTTGATGTTTAGTTTTCCAATGAAATATTAACAGCTTGCCAAATATTTCCTCGAAACGGAGCATTTCCATCATTCAAATGTGCAATAAATTTAGGAATGTTGTTGTGCGGCTGACAGTGCGGCATTTGCTCATCTCATATTTGAATCATTAGCATCATTAGTTGCTCACATGAAAGAGCATTTATTTTCAGACGATTTTATCATAAAAAACTACATAACAATTTAACAATTTTAGATGGAATGGTTTCGTGAATGAATATAACATCAAACAGATTTTACGATTTTTCGATGAATTTCCAAACCAGTAATCCAGTTTGTAGCCGACAAACTGGACAAACTATCTCAACTAACAACATAGCTAAACTTCAAGCTTATTTCTCATCGCATATCAAGCTTATTGCAAGCTCTCAACCTAGTGTTCGAGATGCAGTTCCACAGTTTTTAATTGAGAGCTTTCGATGCCTGTACCATTTTTGCATTAGTATAATTGTGTGGCAAGTACAATCATACTCTTTACCCAGGGAAGTCAAGAAATTTTCCAATCCAAAACATTACTAGACTGGACCGGGAATCGAACCCAGCCACCTCCAGTATGGGCTTGCTTTGCAGCTGCGATTTTACCGACTGAGCTAAGGGAGGGTGTTCCTACAATCCAAAGGGTATATCTAGCATCTAGTATACCTAGTATACCTATCTAGTATACCTTACAGCTAAAGTCGGATCCTTGCGATAAAAGTAAGAATGACAACTGTATCGGACTTCTGTACGGAAACCCAATTTTCTTTCATATCTTCCTCAGATTTGACCTCCTTGCGATGCTTCCGTAGTGCGTGCCTTATAATAGCCCAGTATTTTTTGATGGGCCTTAGTTCCGGTTCGTTGGGGGCGTTCATGTCCTTGGTTCGTACCCAAGTGACCCCGTTGGCTTTGAACCACTCCAGGACAACATTTGAAGAGTGGCATGAAGCTAGATCCGGCCAGAAGTTCGTAGGGCCCTCGTGTTGCTTCAACAGAGGAAGCAGACGCTTCTGTAGACACTCCTGGAGGTAGATTTCCCCGTTTACAATCCCGGTAGTCACTCCGCTTGCCACATGACCAGATCGCTTGCCAAATCATGTATTTCTTGGCAAACTCTGCTTCCTTACTTCCTCCGGAACATCAAACTTGTGCTGGACGGTAAAGAACAATAGCCCCGGAAGCTGCCGGAAGTCCGTCTTGACGTAAGTCTCATCATCCATCTGGGTGTACAATTTCCGGGCCCGTGACTTTCCCACCGTATTTTGCCGGTCTTCACGATTTGAAGCCTTCTGCACTTTCAGTCCCCAGAAGTCGTATAACAATGTTCAAACAGTATCGTAAATAACTACAGTTTAAGTCAACATCGCATATAAGTATGACAAACATTGCATTATGTTTAAGTTATAACGTATAGAATGCAAATTTCCGACTTGCGACGAATAATTTTTCCATCGTACTGTATCACAAATTAAATCTGATTACATCGTAAGGCTTTTCAAATGGTATTTGTTATTACAGATTAAATCGTATATAATGTCAAATCAACTCGTTTAAAAAGAAATTAAAATTCGCACGTATATGGCCTTCACTTTTGTTGGTATAGGCTAGGCCCTCTTTTTGCATTCTATACGATTTGTTTGTTTGTATATAAGGTTGTATATCATAGAAACAATTTTGAATATTTACTGGAGTCGCTTTTTACGCGGTTTTTTTACACGGTTGTTTTTACGCGGTTAGGGCCGCTGAGTCGCAATTTACGCGGTACTTTTTTAACGATTTCTCGACAACGATACGACCTATCGAGTTGATTCCAATCACATTATCCGTTTCAAACTATATGTAATCAAATGGCATACTTTAAAAAAAATCACAATTTTTTGTGTAAATACAGAATTTTTTTTATAATATGTCTATATGGACCATAGCATGCTATAATAACGAATGGCATCAAAATCCGATTTAAAAAAATATTTAAGCAGGTGAAAAATCAAAATCTCGGATGTTTTATTTAACGCGGTTTTTTTTTTCACGCGGCACGTATCCCTCGCGTAAAAAGCGATTCCAGTGTACGTGCATTCTGGTTGTGTGGGTCCCTCCCGGTCCTTGGCTCTCTGAACGAAAGACTTGGACAGATTCAACTTTTTGACCACATCCCTGACCGAATCATTGGAATTCCACTTAAATGCTTTCGTGACACGCTTGTGATCCTGATCACTAATAGAACATCCATTCTGACCGCAGTTCTCCTACCGTTCGATGCTCAGAGTTTGGTAGTAAAGTTTAATCACACGACTCACCGACTCACGACTGCACGATTCCGAGTTGTTTTCCAATATCCCGATGAGAGAGTTGAGGATTTTCCAGGTGCTTGCGCAAAATCAATTCGCGACGTTGCTTTTTGGGTGACGCAATTTTTAAACAATACAGCATTTTTTCTACAGTAATTTTTTTCGTGCTGCTATTTGATGTGGGACACCCTTTATTTGTTTCTAAGATATTGATAAAAGAAGGAAGTGATTTCTTGGAAATCACTTAAAATAGAAAATGCTCCCCTGGACCGAGGGGTGCTTGGATCGGCACAAAAATTTAATTTCACTAAAGTTAGACCAAAATAAACATCTCCTCAAAGTTTGTCAAAATCGGAAGAGGTCAATCGCACTTTTTTTTTCTAGGTCACTTGACGCGCACCATAATAATTGTAATGGTATACTAATCTTATAAGAGCCAATAACAATAATCCAAATATCAGAAGAACCGTTTTCCAGCAACCTGGTAGTAGAATCGATAAAGTTTGGGCATATTTACGCTATGCTCAAGATTGTATGCACTGTGGCAGGAATAGCGATCTCCTAGTCAACTTTTGGGAACTGACCATTTTCCAGTGATTTACCGTATGCGTGATAATGTTTGCACCATTGAGCAATGTCAAAATTAAAAAAAAATCAAAAATTTCGTTTTCAAGTTTTTTTATTTATTCAAAGAGGGGATGTTTTTCAGAGTCTTAAACTATGCTAATCATCGATCGAGTTTCCACTTGCTGCAATTACGGCCTCCACACGCTTCCGGAATGCACGGCAAGTTCTAATAATGTATAATGAGAGAGAGAAGGATTAGTATTTTCCATTTAATTCCACTATTTTATTTGCTTATCCTTGACAGATACGCGTATTTCGTCTAAAATGAGCAGACTTCTTCAGTGTCTTGTACAAATACTCGACTAGTCTGGATCCATTTCTCTCCAGGTACGGGTCAATGTTTGTATGAGGCATGCTGTACTCGGGTGGCGTTTAGAACAGGCCTTGACCTTCATGACGCGCCATATTGAGTAATCCAGCGGATTAAGATCGGGGCTAGATGGCGGCCACATATCCTTCGCCCAGAACGGAAGATGTTCCGGCAATCACTTCTGAGTGCGTCTCGAGGTGTATCACGGAACCCCGTCTTGTTGAAATACAACATTTGGCTTCGGACCGTACTGTTCTTTGATCCACGGAAGAACATACTTACTTAAATCCCGATGTAGACCTCCGTGTTGGCTTTGTCGCCTTCTGGAATGAACACCGGGTCCATTTTTGTTTGCCATTGGAAACCACAAATCCAAACACCATAATACTAAATAGCAGGATGCTTGGTCAGATACACGTTCTTGTGCTCGTCGGAAGCAGTCGGAAGAGTACTAATATTCCTTTCGGTTCTGGATTTTGATACGGGATCGACGGTAAACATGCTCTAGTCGGTGAACAGGATTACTGGATTTTTTCGCTTAAGGAAGTTCACAATTTTCTTGCATCGTTCGACTCATAGCTCCCGGATGCGGTTGGCAATCATGTGAGTTTTTTTTCCGTGCCCTCGACTTCGCCCCGCAATCTTCCTTTATGATCTTCCGTGCCGTTCCTTTGCCATTTTCCTTATTGAACGCACTGGATTCACCCGAATCTTTCTTTTGATAGCAGCGATAACCCTCGGAACCCGAGCTGACCTCGGACGACCTGTGGCCACCTTCGGTCTAAAACCCTTTTGACGGTCCACCGAGACAATCCCACGGCGATTGAAATGTCTTTTTGCGACATTTGCGCGTGGTACAAATCACGAATACGCTGCCACTTTGTCATGGTGCAACTGTCAAACTAAGTAAATCATTTTCTTCTATACACAGCCTACTACGGTATGATCTATAGGTTACGTGCATGCAAAGAAAACTAAGGCATTGTATGCACTGGTGAAACGGGAACCTTATTTTTGTACGATGGTGCAAACATTATCATGCATACGGTAGGATATCCAGAGGACCGTTTTATGGCCACCCGGTAGGATAATCGATATGGTGATGGAATATTTCCTCTATGCTCACGGATCTCTAGGTTTACTTTTAGCCTAAAGTTTTAGGAATTGACCATATTTCCGGTGATTTCGGATACCCAGAGGACCGTTTTCTGACCACCCAGTAGCAGAGTGGATATGGTGATGGCATATTGATCATATTCTCGGTGATTCTGGATATCCGGATGTCTACTCAGTGATTCCGGGTGATTCTTCTCACGGGTTTTCCCGTTCCGACTGGTCAACCGTAGGTTCAATCGGGTTTCTACCTGTTTATAATGAAAATAGATAGTTCTACCTTAATCATAACGATTGAAAATCGCATTTTTGAGCAGGGTTGGCTTTCTGTCAGTCAAGTTCCGATTTTTGTTTAAATGTCGCATGACACATTTTAGTCCTGGGACGTGTTCGGAATGGCCATAGTCGTTTTCGCCACCAATGATCGATATTTTAAGAATAATGAAGTAAGGCTATATACAGCCATTCCATAACAAAACGATATAGTGGTTCTCAAAATTTCGTAACAATTGGTAGTTTTGTTTCTTATCGAAAAATATGTATCAATGGAGACGCAGTCGTATTGTTGCAAGTTCCCCGGTAGCGGTAGAGAAAAACTTCCATAGGGCGGAGTAATCACAAACACTTAAAGCAATGTGCACCAACAAATCAAAAATAAGGCATTACAATCATCTTAACAACCGTGTATTATGGCTACCATCTTCCTGAACATCCTTCCTACTTTCCTTTCTCAACTGTGAGATTCTTCAAGAACTCCCTGCCATTTTCTTTTCTACTCTACTGCTATGTCACATAAAAGTTTCACTACTCACGATGGGCCAATCTTCTACCTTTGGCTGCTGCTGATGGGTGCACCTGCATCGCCGGTACTGCTTGGGTGAATGTACTTCATCGTTCCGGCCGTGGACGCACCGTGTACCGCTTCCCTCGTACGCCACTAACAACTTCCGTGTTGGTGCGACACCGTTGGATTTCCGTCTAGATAGCGAGCAAACGTAATCGCTGGGGCTCACCTCGCTTCCTGCTTCTGCTGCTGTCTTCATCCGCTGAGCTGTCACGCAAGCCAGCGCTTCTCCGCCCGGATAGCGAACGAGTGTTGCTTCACTTCGACCGTGCACGCGGACGCTCGTGTCCACACCGGTTGCCACCACTGTCGTCTTAGTCAGCACATAGCTGCCCGAGGCTCGATCGGCCACCGATGCTCTCGTTCGTGTGCGTGAGCGCTCCCTTTCCGTTTTCTATTGCTGCGGTCGCAAACCGAACTCCAGAAAGCTAGAGGAAAAAATGGCCTATTGAGGTTAGGTTTGGACTCATCTCACAAACCAGCACGTGACCTACTTCTCTTGAAGGCCTTTCTTGTTCGGATGTAGACCGGTTCGCTTTGAGTAAACCAGCCAGTTCGTGCAACGTAGGTCAGCCTGCAGAAGAGGTTGATTTAGCCGATTTGTTCTCGGAGGGTGTGCTGGCTACTAACCTTGCTATACCACGCGAATTTGCACTGGGTGCTTTCCAAGGGGATTGCTACAGTCGATAGTGGATCTTTTCGCTCCGTTTGCCCACCAAACCTCGGTCTGGGTGAGAAAAAGGCTTGCTTTATGGTTGGCAAAAGCTTCTACAGCGTGTTACCTTTTTGCAGTGTTGATTCCTCCTAAATGGACCTCTGTGGCTTGGATGTCTCACGAACGTCAATGAGCAGCCAGTGATCTGTGCGTTTTCGCTACGCCCGTTCGTAGAATCTCAATCGGACACAGCCGTCTCGCCAACACCAATTGAGGGCCGAACAGATCCGTTGTATGCCACAGCAATGGCTGTCTTCTCTTGCACTGGTAGCTTATTTCTTCCTCCTGGATCAATAGCCACACGCGAGTCACTTTTCCCGCACCGGCAGCTGTTATTTTCTACCCGGGCCAAACAACAATTTTCAGATGACTATTTTTTTCCGCACAGAAGATCGAACACACGTGAACTTTTCAGAGCACAAAGACGATTTGCCTATCTACGCACTCTTCTCCTTTGTTTTCAGCGGAAGCCAACGGGTTCGGATGCATTCAGCACCTAACCGGGTGCAATATAATTCGCTGTATGAAGTCAGCTGTCAAGCAGTGCACCCATGCAGCATACGGTTTCACCGTTGGCACGGAAACTTTTCGTTAACGTTTTTGTTTTTTACCGTTAATTTTGCTTATTTACATCTACATATTAACTTTAATCGAAACTCCCCCCCTTGTCCGACTGCGCATATGATATAAATCTCATTGTTTTTGAATAATTCAATAATTAATCTAAACATACAAAGTTGATGACATGAGATACTCCGAAATTATTATTTGACCGGCAGTGTTGGCAGGAAAAGTGATTTTTGGCATTTAATTCAAACCATATATATTTGAACGGTTATAACTTATTTTTAGATACATTCTAGCACCGTACTTCCTTGAGCAAAGTTGTTAGGTACTTTCTGGACTATATTTGAACATGACTAGTTGCATGGTTCAAGCCAAATTGTGGTCACTAGGAATGAAAATGCAAAAAAACTAGGTTTTCCCATACTAATTCCCATACAAATTTCAAACAAAACGCGGAAAGCAGGGTTATAACCAATCTTCCCCAAATTTTGCACAGTTGTTTGGAACCAAAAATGGAACCAAAAAAAGGTTGTTCTCGCTTAATGAGTTCAAGTATGCTTTTTTTTATATAACGGTGACCCACCCTATTGGGTACCCACGTGCTACTCCAAAATATATAATGGCTTGTCAAGGAGCCCACATTTATTACATTTTGGGAAAAATATTTGAACCAACATTGAACTATAATCACCAAAAACAATAAAATACTTGAAAAATTTAAGATGAAGTATAATAGTCACAATATAATGATATAGGGGAAATGGTTCTAATAGTAGCCTATGGATCTAAGATTGGACCCATCGCTAAAAAACTGCTATTTATCAATTTTATCTAGATGAACGCGTCATTGGGACGGTACTACTGGATATTTTTGGTCGCTATGGGCCCAAATTAGGGGTATTTAAGTCGACATGACATCCATTTCCCCTACATCAATTTTGCATAGGTCAACGTGATACTGCGGTCGTGTCTAGGACACAACCCTTTAAATTTTTTATAATAACCTTTCATTTGAAATCATCATCAAGTCATTCAAATCGGCCAGTGCACAGTGGTCCAGAATGCAGATTTAGGTGTAATGATATGTTTTGAGCCTGAAATTGAATTAATTAAGGTATACGTTATAGCTGAATTAATTTCAAGCAACTTTGCAGAACACAACTTTTTTGTATCTCTTGAATTGGCCGATTTAGAGCTATTTTCTTGAATTGAGTTATGGTGGCTCTAAAAAAACAGTTGTTTTGCTTTTTATTTGAAATTTCTCATGAAAGTCATCTTCTAGAGACTTTTAAAACTCTTTAAGACTAATGTTTTCTATCCAAATTTGTTGCCTGTATCTCTTCTAATAAAAAAGATATACCCGAATATAGTAAAAAATATGAATAAATTCAAATTGATTTTATACGAGTTTATAAATAACATACCTCCATTTTTTTCATATTATTGAAAATAACATACGCCCTTTCAAATGCCGTAAAATAACTTTTTTTTTATTTGCCCCCAAGAGATATAAACATTTGAAAAGTGCATATTTTTAGCATAAAAACGTCAATAACTCTTGATCGGCGAAAGATATTGACAAGCTTTGCGCAGCAAAAATTTGCGCCTTAAGATCTAAAAGTTATTGAAGACACCTTTGCTGAGATATACGAAATAAGAAAACTAGAGCAAAACAACTTTTTTTTAGAGCCACCCTATTTCAATTCAAGAAAATAGCTCTAAATCGTCCAATTTAAGAGATACAAAAAAGTAATTCTCTACAAAGTTGCTAGAAATTAGCTCAGCTATAACTGCCGAAGAATGAATACCTTAATTTATTCAAACAAAAAAGTAAGATACATGTTTTTAATGATAATAGAAACCACCCTAGAATTCATTATCATAAAAATGAGGGCCTAACTATAAGGAACAACTTTGTAGAAGAGACTTTTAAAGTTTCAATTTTTAGTCTAAAGTTTCAATTTCAGGCTCAAAACGTATCATTCCACCTAAATCTGCATTCTGAAACACTGTTCAGTGGTTCAAAAGTTACGATTTAAAAACAAAATCATTTTTGGAGAAAAAAAAATAGGAAAGAATCGATTTTTTGCACCACTTTTTAACATGGGAATGGTCACCATAAAAAAAAAAGAAAAATACGGGTCTAATATTTTTCGATAAGGAACAAAACTACCAATTGTTACGAAATTCTGACAACGACTATATCGTTTTGCTTTGGAATGTCTGCATAGCGGTGCCAGTGGTGTAGTGGTAAGCGTGATTGCCTCTCCCACCAAAGGGCCCGGCATTACATCTCTGATAATGTCGGAAGGGTAGTAAAGCCGTTGGTCCCCGATTGATGAGTTGATGAGTCGATAGGTAGGGTCCAGGTGTGGGAGCTACCTCCCTGGCGTCGGTAGCATTGGTACTAAGTTCGGAAAATAAGCTAGATAGAAAACATTAAATTCAATTTTGACAACATTAAATGTTCAGGCTTGTTGCCAAAATCGAACGGACAGTGTAGGTGATAGTAAACGTATTTCCCCTCCGGTTTATTTTACAGTGCATCAACAAACGGAACCAACCCACGACGGAGCTTACCCATCGCCACTCCGGCTAAGTACCATCATTCACGTCAACATCAACAACAGCCACTTCACCGCTGGAAGACAAGTTCACTCTCCATGCGAAAAGTGCTTTAAATTAAAAGTCAAAAGAAAAACATTGATTGCCAAACTTGCTGCCGCCGCCATCACATCAGGTGTCTTTCGGTTTGGTTCGGGGCCACTTCCGTCGGAGATTTCCGCAGGTACGCAGCAACAAAAATCGAAAGCGAAGCCGAAACGGTGTGAAAGGAAGTCCAAGTTTACCGGTTCTGCCCACCCATTGACCTTAATAGTCGTCGTCGTCTCCGAGATCGTCCCACCGAGCTTCAGCTTCCCGTGAAGCTCGCCGGTGCCAACAACCAAACAGCTCAACAAATCCGAAACTCGAGACAGCGCTTCCTAGAAGTTTTCCATCACTTTGTCTTCTTCGCCTCCGAAGTTCGCGTTGAAAACCCATCAGACGAAGAAGACTGTTTTGTTTTATTGTGAGCGCGAGTGTGTTCCAAATTGGAAACCGGAGTATTGGGAAGGATAGCCAATTCTGCGGTGGGGAAGCGACAGGAAAATAAGTGTAAATTGATATTTATTGCCAGTGGGATTCCGGAGCTGTTATTCCCGCAGCGTGTTTTGTCCATTCTGTGTCGTGGACCCAAAACGGACGTAGTTGAATGGTGGAAGAAGCAGCATTTGAGCATCCTTTCTTTTTACAGCAGCAGTGAAATAACAATTAGAAGAAATTGGAAAAGAGAACTTGTTCGCCTCAACAACAACGGAACGGAATCAACGGTAACAAGGTTTCGAGAGAAGTGATTGAAGGCCAGAACTTTTTATGTTTGTTTGCAGTGAAAAGAGTCGAAGTGAATCGGATTCCGGAGTGTTGGGGGTTGCGAAATCCTGTCCAGCTGTGTAAACTAATTGGGTAAGTTTTTATGGGCGGTAGAGGTTTATTTCAGTGCTTTAACGTGGGATGGGACGACACGTCTTTAACATTCAATCGAGAGCTTTCCAAGAAATCAGTCATCATAACCCCGTTCAGTGGTAGGGAATCAAGCTTGTCGATAAGCGTCGGGAGGTGGTATTATGATTTTCTGAAAGCTCCCAAAGTCAAAACCGTGATTGGAATTTATGCTTCATATGAGGCTTTGTGAAGCGAACGTTTCTAAGACGAATTTAAAAGGATCTTGACTCCGATTCTGAAGCAGCAGACCCACTTACAACATTCCTTTGAATATAGCTTTGGAGCAATAGAAACATTCACCTAGATAAGATTCACTGACGTAGGCAGGAATCAAACCCCTCCCCCAGACCGCAGCTCGTCGAACCAATCCCAGAAAGAAAAGCAGAATCATAATTAAATGATTGCCAAAGTGCAACAATGTATGAGTCATCGTTGAAAATCCACTCAAAGCTAGTTGGGATACCTCATTTGAATTCATCAATAATCCTACAGAACGGAACTGCCTAGAATCGCATTTCAGTCCCATATGACTTTTCGACGATTTTGAGATACGTGCACTAATGGGCCTAATTTTTATTATTCTTCATCTACATAGTATCGAGTTGTTAGTTCTGAAATAATAGGAAAAAAAGATGAGGTCTGTTTGTCCCATGTTAAAAGTAATCGCATATCAGTCCCACTATGACAAATGTATAAAAAAAGCAACCATAGGCATTTAGCAAGTATGTTTAGTAAGGATTCTTATTTTCGTGCTGTTCAATACATAATATTGAATGAAAACAAAGGAAAATATAATAATAAAGGCATATTAAAGCGATGAAAAAAATAAATTAGCCGTCCTGTTTTCCATGGGCATCAGGTAACTTTTCCCAAAACTGTTTTTTCCTTCCTTTACCAATGGCATAATAGTTGCAGCTTTTCTGTCCAGGTCAATTCCCCTGGGTTGACAACTCTTTATCAAATGTTCCTCCTTGAAGTGCTCTACTGAAACCACTTTTTCCTGGTTGGCTGTTAATATCTTACAGCTGTTCAAATCGTCACCTTGTGTTGGAGTGTTCGACTGTGAGGTTCTGCAATAATCAGTTTCGGCTTGGCAGTCTGGCAATCACTCATCAGAACGAATTAATTTTGTAATTTGTCCCTACGTTTCGGCTCTGATTAAGGCCTTCTTCAGGGGAAACTGAGGGGAATTTTATTTTAAGAATTAATTGTTTCACATATCAAAAATATTTTGCACTCACAATTGTTGGATTTGTTCTTTGTCTAGATACTGTTTGAAGTCTAACGTCTAAGGGCTCAGCTTGTTTAGCACGTACTGGGAGACAGGGAAAGAAATGCTGTGGAAGCATGTCCAATACTTTAACTTTTTTTCGCCTTCAACCACAGGTGTAAAGTCTGGGTATGTCATCGGTGGGTTTCGTCTCATTGCACCTTCAACTGCGGCGTGGAAGCTGTCTGCTGCCAGGAAGGTGTGCCCTGATTAAAAAAAATTAGAACCAACTCCTTCATCTCCACATTTTTGGAATTTATATGAAGGATGATATTCGGAAAACTTTCAAAAAAATTGCACCACTGTTTTGTAGCAGCTGATTGACGCAGCTCAAACTGCAAATTTAATATTCAAATTAGTGTTTTACGATGTACAATTTAACACTCTACTTACAAAAGATAGTTTCTTCTCTACACCTCTTGCTAGAAGCGATTTGCGGTGATTTGTCGATCTCAACACGTTTCTTCACTAATCTGAGTTCAATCATGGATAATTAGATTTTCATATAATAATACCAATTTAGGTTTTGAATACTTACGATACTAGTCTGGACTTAAATCCACAATTCTAGTCACTAGACATTAGATTTAGTTTTGTGTACTAGTGCTTGCCAACCTAGATATAAGATGTTGTTTTCAGTACATTATTTCTACTTACATGATCAAATTTACCGTATATCCAATTGAACACACTTTCTGATACGATTAAATGCACGTTTAGATACCTTAAAACTAGTTTTGATTATTTTTTCAACCGAAATATGAGCTAATTTTGCTAAACGCAATCCAGAATGAACGACTTTCTTTTTGGATACATTCCTCCAATTCAATTCTACCGTTTACCTGACAGCGACGTAGCATGTTCGCTAGACTGGTATTTGGCCCAAACCATGTTCCCAGTTTGAGATGAGGTGAAGGAAATGATTCCAATTTTTGTTTTGGGACGCACAGTTGTCCAGCCACAAAACAAGCGTTTCCAAACCCCTAAAGCTTGTGATGCTCCTATGAAAACACCCAGCTAGGTCGTTAGAAGATCGGCCGTTCACAGCTTCGTGTACTTCCCGAAAGGAACGAAGGTTTCATTAAAGGCTATTAGCCTTTGTGAGAACACAACTGTCTTCAGTCCATCTCACGGTACTCCGCACCATCCTCACGGTACTCCGCACGGGATGCTTTGACTAGCTGAAAATGTTCACTGTATTGCTTACATGTGGCACAAGAGTCGTTTGTTGGTGGAGCCTCGGTCGTATGTCCGGAAGTTTTCTGATGTTGAAGTGCCGAAACACATGTTTCGCATTGCTCGTGTCCAAGTTTTACCATCGATATGTTTATATCCTTCAGGATACGCCCCTAAAATTGGTAGCTGACACCGATATCGTGAGTTGCCTGGTAGTTTTGGTGCATGGCCGTTTTGGTTAAACCCGATGGCAAATACAGCCGATTTGGACCATGAGCACGTCGATAATGTGATATGGTCGGTTTGTATTTATCGATATGTGCTCTGACTGAATCACGCTTTCTAGTGCTGCCAACATATTTTCCTCGCTTGGGAGCCTTTGATAGTACATCATCGTCGTCAGGATCATCAACGAATCGGTAGATAATATTTCTGCAATAAGGTTAAAACAAACAATAGGTTTAACGTATTAGTTCGTATGATCAAAGAAAACTTACCCGCAGTGTTCCCCGTAGCTCAGTATTGAGAATAAATTTCTACACACGGTCGGTGATTCGTCGCTTGCCACAGCTCAAATGTGAAAATCATACGAGTGACGCTTTCTAAGTTTATCGTCGGTGAAACGATGTCGGGTACGTCTTTCCACGGCTTTACGCTGGACCCTTGCTCGCATGAAACATTTTTGCTCCGAAGCATACAGTGTCCAAAAAAATTTGTTGGTGTCGATCCTGTTATCTTTGGAGACCAATTTGGCATATTCGTTGGCGCAGCCACAATTCTCCAAAATTGCAGCATGTGCACTAGACTGATACAAAATTTGAAATTTTTGCTCCACAGTGCTCAAACGGTTTCAAATCAGGTCCTGATTAGCCTCACAAAATTTGAACTCATTTGGTAAGAAACTGACTTGGCACAAACTATTCGAAGTTTATGTGGAAATTACTATGGAAAAACCAAACTTTTTGTTCATTGTCTTCTACCCATTTTCCATAGTGCTGTTTCTAAAATTGCTATATTTATTCTTACAGGAAATTTTTTAAGCTACAACTTTGCGCAATATCGTTTTTCAGCCAAATGTCAAATTAAATTGTTATTAATTGTTTAAGATATTGATAATCTTACGGCATAATCAAGCAGCTGTTCTGTGGGCAACACTGTATTCTGCAGTGTGACATACTATTTGTGCTCTATTCTTCGCACCATTAACACCAATGTTGCCTGCTAAACAGGGATCGACTAAAAACTCAGAGTGGTGCAAAAAACACTGGTGCTACTCTAAAATAAGGGTGCGCGGCCCTTATGTTTGGAAGGAGAAAGAGACTAAGGAGAGAGAGATTTCATATTTAGGAGAGACTAGTTGGACAGCTCAGGTGCTACTTGCGTATCGCACAATCGAGTAGTGCACGGTGTTATGACGGAAGTAGTACGGGTCAATGTCGGTCAACATCGGGTTGAGGTTTGGTTGAAGTCAGGTTGGAGTCGGGTTGGCTTAGCTGTTTCACCGGAATGTCGAATAGAGCTCCGTTTATGTTTAACTGGTGACAATAGATTACGTTGCAATTAACCACTTCATTCGAGCAGTTATAATGACGTTTACTACCACTCAAACTTTGAAATAAACATTATTTTACAATTTTTTCTTCTAGAACCTCGAGAAAAGTAGCCAACATTTGTGCGTTTCATAAAAAAATAGAAATTAGTTGGTCCAGTTTTGTGAAATCGCTGTTAGAAAGTCACGCCAAAACTCCTTGACAAAGTGGTCAATTGAATTTTTTTTATGGTAATTGTATAGTTATAGCGGCAAGCGCAAACTTTCCAATACACTGAAAACCGTTTGACAACCCAGAATGAGCACGTTGCAGCAAACGCGGCATTGCACTAAAACGCGTTTTTTCAACATTTTGGAAAAACGGCAACCTGAGAAGTGCTCAATGTTTTCAGTTGATTTTTTTTGTAATTTTTAACCTTCAAGAGGTTAATCAAATAATCATTCAAGGTCGTAGTAAGTAGTCAGAACGATGTTAGACGCATCCGGACATCTTTCGGGTACTCCCGGGAAGTGGTCAGATTATTATTGAAACAACGACTCATCAAATTACATGAGATTTCAAAAATATGATCTTTGGTAGCCACGCTGGCTAGACATAATCTGGGTGCTCCCGGGGAGTTTTCTTAAAGTTTTCGAAATTTTCCTGAGGCTAATGGAACTTCTCTGGAGATTTCGGAAATTCTTTTCAGAACTACTCTGTAGGACTCATCAGAACTACTATGAACTTCTCCTCAGAACTACTCCGAAACTCTACACAGAACTACTCTGAAGTTCACCTCAGAACTACTCTGAAGGTCTCCTCAGAACTACTCTTAAACTTTACACAGAAATGCTCTGAAATTTTCTGCACAACAACTCTGAAATTTTTCCCAGAATTACGGTGAAACGGTAAAGTTCTCCTCAGAGCTATTTTGAAGTTAGCCTCAGAACTACCTTGCACTTCTTCTCAGAACTACTCTGAAGTTC